GCTACCCTCCGGGTCCACTTCAAAACCCCAGCAGTCCAATGATTACCCTAGGGTGTTTAATTTTGACAGGCTGAAGGAGGAGTGTGCTCGGGGGTTTGCTCTGGTCGTTTCAGAGCGTGCGACAGTCTGACGGACCCTGTACTTCTGTGGGACACCTTCAAGCACCTTCAAGAGTCGATTGGTGAACGCCCGAGGACAATACAGAATTTTATCTCACTGGAAGCCACAAATGCTTGCCGTGCGGCTCGTCTGACAGGGGATCGGGATTTGCACCGTTCTCAGGTGCGTAGAACTCGGTCTCTGTTAAGAGGAGGTCGAGGGCCATTTCTTAGTAAATGACCGTCCTGCATACCAAGCCCTGAGAAAGCTGAACTCCAAGCCCTATTCTCAGGTGACAGCGGTTCGCTTAGTAAGTGGCCAGATCGTCTCAGATCTTGTTGCGGTGCGGGAGCGTTGGGATGAGTATTTTGAGCAGTTGTACCAGGTTGGTTCACCAACTGTTAACTTGGATGCGGGTAGTGCCGTGATTCCGTTGCCGGAGCCACCCATCAGTGAGGATCCCCCCTTCCTACCTGAAGTTAGGGGGGCGGTCTCCAAGCTGAAGAGTGGCAAAGCAGCGGGTATTTGCGGCATCCCAGCTGAACTGTTAAAGGCTGGTGGTGAACCTATGGCGCGAGGGTTGCATGGTGTCCTGGCTGCCATCTGGTGGTCCAATACCGTTCCCCCTGCTTGTTGAGGGGTGTGGTCATCCCTCTCTTGAAGGGGAAGGGGGACCGATGGGACTGCAGCAATCACCGAGGCATCACACTGCTCAGTATACCAGGCAAGGTTCTTGCTGACATCCTTCTGAGACGTATCAGAGACCACCTACTGAGGCATCAGAGGCCGGAGCAATCTGGATTCACTCCTGGTAAGTCCACAATAGACCGTATCCTTGTGCTTCGAGTCATTGTAGATCGCCGTCGTGAGTTCGGGTGTGGGCTGCTTGCAGCCTACTTCGACTTCAAGAAGGCGTTCGTAACGGTGCATTCGGTGAAATCACGTCGTGGGATCATCCTGAGGCTGCAGAGGAATCTCCTAACAAATGATATTGGACTATAGCNATATATATATATATATATAAGTTATTATATAATATTTATTATATATATAAGTATCTATATATATATATCTATATATATGTATATACATATATATATATATATATATATATATATATATATATATATATATATATATATATATATATATATATATATATATATATATATATATATATATATATATATATATTATATATATATATATATATAATATATATGCATACACACACACACACATATATAATATGTGTTTGTTTGTGTGTGTGTGTGTGTTTATATTGTGGGATATATATGTGTAAATATGTGTATATATATATGTATATATATATTATATTATACACATATGAATACATATACATACACACACACACACACACACACACACACACACACACACACATATATATATATATATATTATATATATATATATATATATATATATTATATCACACACACACACACAGACACACACACACACACACACACACACACACACACACACACACACACACACATATATATATATATATATATATATATATACATATATATATATATATATATATATATACTATATATATATATATATATATATATAATATCTTTGAATATATGTATATATATATATATATATATATTATATATATATATATATATATATATGCATACACACACACACATATATATAAGTATGTGTTTGTGTGTGTGCACGCGTGCGTGTGTCTACCTATACAGGATGTGTATATCCGTTTTTATGAGCGTGAAACGTTTTACTTGATTTTTCCAGGTACTGCGCGGCGTCACATCCCACGTGCTTTCTCATTGACACATCCTCTTGCATTGACAGACAAGGCATGTATGTGTGTTGAATATTGGCCATTAAGTATTTCTTTTGTAGAATTAGAAGATAATATGTAGTATTTGGGGTGTTCGCCCTGCTGTCACCAACGCACATTTTTTTTTTCGATTTCAGTGTCTATTTCAATGTCAGTTGTTTTTATCACATTCTTACGCCATTTTATCTTTCTTGGATATTTTAAAAATTACTCCTTAAAATATAATAATAATAATAATAATAATAATGATGATGATGATAATAATAATAAAGAACAATAGTGATTAAACAAGTCCCTCCTTAAATGAGAAGACACCGGAAATATTTTCACGTTTTCTATGACCACGGACACACTAACCAAGACCCATGAATTCCCGGTAAATTTGGAAAAAGACGTCACCAACGCTTTTCGGGACGAAACTAGATTCGTTCGATTTCTATTGTTTTGGTTCGGTTGATTCTGGTATTCGTTTCCATCGGAAATGGCTACATTGTCTTTTCCATACCAGGGTTGCGCCACTCTTGATATAATGCATGTGCACTATGGAATTCTCGTTCTC